GGATTCTTTATGTGGAGAATATAAATGTCTGTTCTGAAGTTCATGGCAATGCATACAGTAGTATTTCATTCTGAACCAAAGTGCTTGAAGACCAGCCAATGAAAGTATTAAATATTTTTCAAAGGCTGATGTCTCTGTCATTCCTGCTAAAAGATGATGCCATTTCTTCCCAAGAGTGAGATCATCTCCATTCATGGCCTGAGCGGCAGCCTTTTTAAAGCCAGGATAGGAGGAACAATGGTGCTTAGTGAAAACCTGCAGAGAAATCCCAAACAGGCGCTTTTTCTCCAAGCTTTCCCATTTCCTGTGCATTTATAATAGGCTTGCTTAGGAAGTGGAAGTACTTAACAGAGAGTCATTTAAGAGCTGCATGGGAAAAACGAAGTTGTGGGATACAGGATTAAAGGCCATTGTAAAGTGCTCTTTTGAATTTACATGATATAGATTTTGCAGCTTTGACAAAATATGATTAGTTGATATGAAAACAAACCATAATTCATCAAAAGTGTGGAAGTTAAGAGAAATTATAACCAAACCTACTGTGGGCGTTTGCTTATTCACCATCTGCTCACCAGAGAATATAAAAATACTTTCATCCCAATTCTCTGATGAATATACATATAACACAGGACTATCAGTTTAAAAAAAATCTTCTTTTATTTTTATTTTTATTTATTGCACTGGCCACAAGACTTTACATTCCATTGCACTGTAATATCCACTGTAATGTCATCTAACATTTGCTGTGCACTTTTTCTGCACTACAGTTAGTAACGCAGATATGTTCTGTTTTATTTTGCTTTATTATTTAATGATCTATTTTTACTTCACTATGTATGTTTTTTTATTTTTAGTTTATGTTATTTATATTTTTTACTTACTGAGCTCTTTATTACCATCATTATTATCATCATCATTATTATTATTATTATTATTATGTATTTTTAACTTATGTTTATCTTTATCATATTTTCTTTAGATTTGAATTACTGAACTCCTGTTTGAATATATTTTACTTTATATTTGTAATTATTTAATTAAAGATTGTTTTTAAAAAATTAACTCCTTTCTTTTTTGTAATTGTTTTAATTTTTTTAAGCTATTTTGTTTTCTCATGTTCTATTTTCTCATGTTCTATTTTGCTTTATTTAAGCTAGTTTTGTTAGATAGTGTTTAAAAGTATCCCAACATTTGGGATTTTGTGGAAATTTAAGAACTGGATTAAGATGAACATTATCATTGTTATTAGGTACTACAGTTACCTACATATTTCAATGTTTCTTTTTCTCCGTTTTTCTTTTTTCTTTTTTTTTTATTTTAATAGAAATATAATGAAAATGTTGCAATCTTTTTGGCCGGTGTATTGTTGTCTAGTTCATTCAATTCAAGTTGGAATGTGACGTCAGCGATGTTGCTTTCAAGTTACACCGGACATAGTAAAGCTGTTACGAATTGCTGTTGAAACAATATTGTACAGCTGTCAAAACTTCAAATTTACTGTAACATTTACATTTTGATATTGAAAGAAAGAAAGAAAGAAAGAAAGAAAGAAAGAAAGAAAGAAAGAAAGAAAGAAAGAAAAGAAAAACATATACTTGGAAATTGGGTACATCTCCTTAGACAATCTGTTATTCTCTACAAAACTCTGGTGGTTATTTTTTTCAGCCATGAAACCATTATTTCGCGTTACATAAAAATTTGTACCTACATTTTGGTAATGCTACTTCCTTAATTTAATAGTGTTGTTACTATCTACTATAAACCTCTGACTGTGATATGATGAACTTCAGAGCTATTGTATGGTGTTCAGACCTAATAGCCTTGAGGCTTCTTCTTTCATGGAAAACAGTTCTGTGTAGATATTTTACTGCATCAACAGTTTGCAATTGAACTGATACTGAATTTTTGTGAAAACTGAGCTTAGCAGCAAATATTGCTACTAAAACCTAATAAAGAATTTTGCACTACAGGACTTTATGTTACCTAAAGTGAGAAGACCAAGTAAAAGAATTCATTGTTACATGAATATGATGCTGTAGATCGGTGATGCTGAGTCAGTCTCACCTCTAGCTATAAGTTCTCATTTACATAGAATTTTATTTTTAGATTACAGAAAATCTGAAAAATAATTAAAAGCTGCAACTATTCACAGTGGTGGAAAGTACTGTGCATTTCCTCTAGTGCTGCACCATGTGATTACATTTTAATTTCTTTATTTAAATTTTTTAAATTTCTTCTATCAGCAAATATTTCACTTTTGAATCTGCTACATTTATCTGTTTGGATTCATGTCACTTTCTGAATTTAAGATAATAATATAAATATAATTCAATAAATATACATAGTGGTTACCAGATATGACTTGCATGAGCATGACTGACTTATAATTTCCACAATTAGCAATTTATGGAAGCCTATTTCTGCCACTGAAAACAACTGAAACTGAAGAAAAGGTATTTTTTTGTTAATTTTTTTGTTGCCAGTTGTATGTAAGCAAATCAAAATTAGGAGATAAGAACAAATCATTGCCCTTCCTTCTTTTTATGTTGGTTGAAACATTCCCTCCGCTACTACAACTACTAATTTTACTAATTATTCTTCTTATTATATTTGATAATAATAATAATAATAATAATAATAATAATAATAATAATAATAATAATAATAATAATAATATTTAAGTAGTACCCCAAGTTTAAATTAAAGCACTCGTTCTATATGAAAACCGCGTGACTGTGTTTTTCATCACCTTGAAGCTCTAAAATCCGAGTTTGTGAGGAGCCGCTGAAAGCATCAACGGGTTTAGTACTGAGTGAAGCGGCTCCGGATCAGCAGAGCAGGACTGAGCGAGTCAGCGTGCTACGGTCTGCTGCAGGAGCAGGAGACGCAGACAAGATCGCTGTGGACTAACTTGCATCTCTACTTTAATCCTCCCAGGAGATGAAATCCGTGTTTTAACCTCGTGGAAAACTCCAATCCAGTCCAAGATGACGGTGGATTTTGAGGACTGCATTAAAGATTCCCCCCGGTTTAGGTGAGAGCAGAGAACTCAGTATCCTAAATGTCTCCTTGAACTGTTGAACGCATTAATTCTATCCATATTTGCTGGTGTTTCCCCCCCTAAATCTTAACATGTGTTTTCTCAGATTAAAATGCGCCACGCTGGTTGTCACAGTGATCAGCACTTTTATTTGGTACATGCTAAATTACAATCCGAGTTTGGAGCGTCATTCAGACTGTGCGCATTTTTTCCAGCATCGTTTCTTACAGTAAGCACGATGATAACGATGAGCAACGCAGCCACATGAGTTGTCACATGGGCTGACTCTGAAGCTCCTGATATCTGAGCTCACAGCGCCAGTTTTCAATTCATTAGCATCCATTTGACATCTAAGATATCATTATCCCGCCCCTGAAGCAATTAAATATTTTTTGGGGAAATACTGCGAAGCTTTCGAGAATTAATCAAGAGCCTGGCATCATCTGTACTGATTTCCATAATGAATGAGCTCCTTCCCATTTATGTTCCCATTAGCTGATTACTGGTCTGAAATAGTTTAATTTTCTTATAAGAGAAGGAAAAGCAGCAAACGTTCACTACAGCAATCAGGTAAATGATCGAATAGACTGTCTGATTGTGTAGGGGATCCCTGGATCAGAGGAAACTGAAGGTTTCCACACAGACTATGCCAAAGCCCCTGACAGGGGTCCTCCAAAGGTTACATAAATAAGTAAGGAATTTTCTACACCCACATCTAAACCTGGTCCTGTGCTTCCAACAGAGTCAAGAGCAAACCTGGTCCTGTGCTTCCAACAGAGTCAAGAGCCGGTCAAATGGGGAGGGGAATCAGGGTCATTTCCCCCTCCAGTGCAGTGCTGAAAGATACTTAGACATACTCAGAGATGAAGTACCAGTGCATCAAAGTAAAAACAGTGCAAGTTGAAATCAGGCAAATGCAGTCAAAAGTTAGGTACTGGGTATATTTTAATCCTGCAGAGTTAGTTTGTCTCTTGCAGATTTTTTTAATGAATGCAACTTGTTGAATTTCTGTTGCTCGTATGTAACAAGGCTATGTGGGACATGATGCAGGAACATGATGTGATCTGATTTTCTTTTGTGCTAGATTTTCAAAAATGTGAAGTCAGACTATAGAAAAAGGTGCAAAAAGAGGATGGGTAGTTAAAAGGTGCTAAGCAAAAAACCAAATTGCACAGACTAACTTCAACTTTTGTGTAATCCTATCTAATCTGCTTAAATAAATAAATACATTTTTATTGTTATGGGCCTCAGCTGTAATAACGGGGATTCTTTGCCATAGAGTATGCTGTGATTTAAAAGCTTATTGCAAAATCTCTCTGATAATGTGCAGCACTTCCTTCTGAAATGGAAATTCTCATTTAAAGTACCTTAAAAGTCTACTACAGTGAATATACTTCACTGAACTTTACTGTTTGCTCCCTGAGATAAAATCTCTGCTTCCAAATCAAAGACTTCCCGACTTGGCAGCAGCACCTTAATGACTCCCATCTGGAGCCGGAGGAAGGCACATCACGACCTTCTCCCTCCTCGTTTCATATGCAAAGCAGTGCGGCGAGGCCACAGTGAGACAAGCTGCATGTTAAACAGCCACCGTCCTCATTATTCAGAGCTCGGAGAAGCCTCACTGGGTCATGAATGGGTGGATAAAGTTATCTCCTATCTGCCGATATGGAGTGAAAATGTACCTCCTCCCCTTTTTATGCTGCACATGTTTTCAGATTTTCCTTGCCTGCTGCAGAGAGATGTTCTCATAAGTGAGCCGTCCTCCAGTTTACAGTGCGTGGAGAGTCTTTTATCTGCTGCCCAGGATGTTTAAATGACTAGAAGAGATGCTGAAAGAAGTAAAGTAAACGTATGTTCTCGCAGGCGCTGAAGCCTGTAACAGTGTTTTCAGACACCATTCAAACGGCTCTTTTGTGGAGCTAAAAGCGGAGCTACAGTATGCTGTGTTATGTAACAACCCTGGAGGTGGATGACTGGGAGGAAGCAGCAGGGAAATCGGGTCTTTTTTACATTTGGGACTTGCGTGATTCATTCCTGCCTCCCACACGTGTAAAATCATGCAGGAAATAAGTTTTGAAGTATTATCTCTGACACTTGGCTGCCTTCTCGGTTTCCCAGCTCAAGGTTGGATGACTTATTAATGGATTAGCTAGTGGAGCAAAAACTGCAGACAGTCAGGTTCTTCTTCTTCCACTTTAATGTGCTGTTTTCACACTTGCAAGAAAAGTAGCCTAACCTGAAATACATACATAGACTGTATACAAAAGATGTACGTAACCACTGTGACAGAATGTTCTGGTTTGTGGACTACCGACATGAGGAGACCAGTTTGTTCTTTCTTTCTTTGTTGAAGATGCTATGAGGTGGGTAATTAGTTTCAAAGACCAAAACAGATTGCTTTTGTACATTTTACGAGACAAAGTTAGAGAAGCGAGGGTGAAATGGTTTGGACATTTAAGGCAGTGGATTGATTGGACGAATGATGGATCAAACTTCAATTTTTGTGTTTAAATCTGTTATTTAAACAGGTTTAAACGCAAACATGATGTGGAAATCACAAATCACAAAAATTGCCAGTTTAGAATAAGACAAACATATCATGCAAACTTGGTGCAGCTTTCTTTTTCTTTCAGCATCTCTCTTAAAGGGTGAATCAGTGAGAATCATCTGTCTCCAACTCACTCTCACTAACATCTTCCTCTGTCACAACGACCCTCTGCATGCCCTCCTTCACATCATCCAAGCTTTCCTCCTTTCCCTCTGCCTGGCAGCTCCATATCCAACATCCTTTGTCCACTATATTTCCTCTGCACATGTCCAACCCATCTCAACCTTGATGATAGCCTCCCTCGTTATTTCTGGACTGCATGAGGCAAAGTGACAGATGAAAAGATGGAGACATTACAGCCTGTACAGCTGTTATCTCACACACAGTTTTCAGATGCTGTTGTTTGTTTATACCTGGCACCTACACTGGTGAAGGCGTAAAGCTGTGAATGTTCCTAATCATACATTTATGTGTTTATAATCACCCAACATGACACATCTGAAAGTCCTATCAGACACAAATATCACATAGTTTTGATTTCATCAAACAATATGAAGAATTAAAATCTCTTTGACAAATGGTGCCTTCACTCTCAGGACAGATATGAGACTGCAGCCAGCGATGCTCTACACATCTGGACCGGTCTGTGAGGATTGCACTGCAGCACGAGGCCCTCTGTTTGTGTTTACTCTGGCATGTTACTGGCAATGAGCAACGTTTGAGCTGTTTTCTCCTCACTGATGTGTTAGTCTGACGTCACAGACTGAGAGAGCTGAGAGTCAAACACATGAGTGTTCCTTTATTCTTTTCACAAAAGAAATTTGATCCCAGTATTTCTCACGCATTACGACTGTTTGACGATGGCAGAAATTATAATCGCAAATATTTTGGTGATTATTTAACTCGACTTTCTAAATGTCAGACATTAGTTGAACTTTTAGGAAAAATCAACATTAGGACTCTTACAGTTAACACATCCTTTAGTCTTAAGAAGTTTACTGAAAGCTAAAAGGATGTTTCATTAATGGCTGTTCTGCGATTTGGCGGGTTTTTTGGCGCGTCCGTTCCAGTGAGCTCCCAGTCCTTCAGAAAAATATGACCATTGTCCAGCAAGATTCTTGCTTCCGCTGAGAAACAGACTCTTTTCTCTGCGTCAGAATGGCCCAGGGCAAAGAGTCCAGATGATCCTTCTTCCCCTCCCATGTCAACAGCTGGGGGCGGCGAGCTGAGACAAGGCTGCTGTCGTGATGAGGGGCTTGCTTTGAGTCACAGCAGAGCAGAGAGCCCCGGCAGGCGGGGAATCCAAGGCCAGTGACCTGTGGCGCTCCCTGCTTCTGAGTCTCATAGCGTCTGTGAGAAAACGAGTGAACAAATGAATGTGTGACACAGTCAGATGACGGGATAAGGGGAGAGAGGATGTCACAGTCTTTTAGAATTAACTGCCTCGGTTTAGTAGAGATTTTAGTAAATAATAAAACATTGTTTAGCAGATCCTTTTATAGTCTGAGCAACAAGTTCTCAGTGATTTGGATTTGATTCTAAGGATAATGAAGACTCCACAGTGTAGTAACTGCATGCAAATTTACATCCAGTGCACTAAAGCTTCACTGCTTTTATGCAATTTATTTTAAAAAAGGAGCTGGAGCTGGAGTTTGCTTGTTCTCCACATGCCTGTCTAGTTTCTCTTCCTCACACAGTCTGAAGACATGCATGTTAGGTTGATGTTAGCCCATGTAGAGCTTTGCTCATTAGTTTTTAGTCAGTCCTTGATCTTAGCTGTCATAAGGCTTTGCTTTATGTCCCAGATTTGATGCGTTTGAAGATGTCGTGTTGAGTTGTGCTCAATTATAACAGCTTATTTATACAGTAAATGATCACAGTTCCTTTGTCATTTTAGAGAACAGATGGCTAATTGAGAAATTAGTCAGCAAGTTAAATGAAAGTAATTGTCACCAATGGCCTTTAATGTATCACCAGCTCTGCTTCTTCAGCTGGTGTTTGATTGATATTCCTGGTGCATACTGATTCGTGTGTAAAAGACCCTTTCAACACCCTGATTTTAAAATATCTGGGTCTGCTCTTGCTGCTCTGTCATGAATTAATAAATCTTTATAATTGCAAGGTTTTTTAAATTCTTAATGGTATCAGAATCATCTTAAATGCTCTGTGTCATGATGAATCCAGGCGTCTCGGTTCACGACTGTGACGGATCATCTTTGTGTTTAGCAAGCTTGTGTTTCTACGTCTCCAGCTGCTGGAAGGGATTTCTCCGGCATGGTCTTGTTGCTTCTGCTCTATTTCCGACTGACCTGCTTCCATCTTGAATCTGTGTCAGTGGCCTTTCTGCTCAGCCAAGAGTGCTCCTCCCAGAATGGTGACTCCCGGCCAATCGAGGGTGGGGAACGCGCCATAATTGTAAAAGGAAAAAAAACAAAAAACACTT